AATTTACAACATAACAATAAAATAAAAATAATTAAAAAGAATTCACAATCTTACAGAAATATAATTGCACGGACTTTCATCATCTTTCTGATAACATCAAGAAACAATTATGTCGAAATAACGAAGAATTAAAAATTGCATTTAAACCGATCAACAAGATCAATAAATATTTCACAAAATTGAAAGACAAAGTTGGAGAAGAAGAACAAACAAATGTCATATATGAGATAAAATGTGAATGTGGTCGCTCATATGTCGGTAAATATAGTTATTAATTTTTAGATGAAAGTCCGTGCAATTATATTTCTGTAAGATTGTGAATTCTTTTTAATTATTTTTATTTTATTGTTATGTTGTAAATTACTTGAGTTTTACTATCTAATTGATTGTGATTTTAAATCGTAGAGAATCCTGAAGATGAACCAATACGGTGTTCGAAACTAGTCGAGAAATAATAAAATTTAACAGTCTGAAAAAAGCCTAAAAACTTCCCTATTTTATTTAACTTTTCTGCACTTTTTTCCTTTTAACTCGTCGCCAAATAGGTATGTTATGTCTGTGAGAGAATGAAAGGTGTGATCAGTTTGGCTGTCAATTAATAACTGATTTATTAACAATTAAATTATACAAAGAAACAGAATATCTATAAACTGATAAGGATCTAATCTTATTTGTATTAGTAACTATTTTATATATCAAAACAATTAACATTCATCATTTCATAATTCCCGGATATAAATCACCAAATACTCCTTATATTTTCTATAAAGTTCCTAAGAAAGAAAGTGCTTATGAATTGTGAAACGAAAATCAATTTTCCCTTCGCCATGAAACCGCAATATGTTTTTCTTCACTCTCATGCTAAATATTACTTTAACAATTTTCTTTATCGAGTTAAGATTTTAAAACTGGTTGTTTGATATTAGTTATGATTCTAATCTTTTTTTTAGACAAAATCTTAAATTGCACAACCATGAACACACGAAAACATTTAAAAGAAAATTATTGCCTTATTCACTTTAATGCTCCAAATCAGGCATATGTACAAATAAAAAATGGTGGAAAGTTAATTTCTCAAAACCAAAATATAAACATAAGTTTGAGTGTTGTAAAATTCGCTTTCCACCAATGAAATTTAGGTTATTGTCTCTTCTCCTTACCTTCAACTTTAATGCCTTTCAATCAGTTCTGTTGAATCAAGCACGTGTAACTTTGTCATCACTTCAACTTCATATTATCATTTATATTATTAAATAATCATGATATCTTGAGTTATGTCCAATATTGAGACCCAGCAGTTGATCGAAGCCGGAGAACTGTGACAAAGTTCTTTCCCAGATATTCTATGGTGGATGTCATTTCAATCGTCCTAAAGAAAAGAGAAAACAATTAGAAATTTCAATATATGCGTGCCTAATTGAATCAATTAAAATAATTGAGGAATTTAAATATCGGCTTTTCATCGTAACTTGTAAAAACATCTGAACAATATCAAACCTTGATTGAAGAAATGGAGCAAAGAAATGCTGCATTATTAGAAAAACTTCACAGCATGTGTTCCGGTCGTGAACCACACGTCTGCACGCTATGCCGTCTCTTTTACTCCGAATCCGCGGCACCGTCACCGTGGATCATTAACTCGAGCGGTTGTTCCCATATCGACATTCAACTTCTTTGTGTCCGCTGCAGTTGCCTCGACACAGACCGAAGGTAATTTCTCTATTTTCCTTTTGTTTTCTTCTATTTTTTTTAAAAAAAAAAATTAATTTTCCAATTCCTTTTTTTTAGAAGCTACTGATCTTGACCAAAACATCGATTTGGAGTCAACTAATCCCATTAACTCGGAAAATAAGAATTCTTCAGATGTCGTTCCAGCTTCAACACCGGAAGATCGCGATGTTAGTTCAGAGTTAACTGATGCCATTAGTCCGGAAAATGAGAATTCTTCAGCTATCGTTCCAGCTCTCTCACTTCCAGACATTGAAGGTGCAGCTTGCCTTGACATTCTTCGTGAACGACGTGTCGTTCACTTTGCCCTCGATTCAACTGAAGTACCAGGTAGAAAAAATTTTCTTTCTTCTTTAAAAAAAACAAATCTTTACTTTTAGAAACTATCCCATCCTCGTCGCCAATGTTCCGGTCGTGAACCACACGTCTGCACGCTATGCCGTCCCAGAATAAACTGAGCTCGACCTCGCGCCCGCTCGTGACTGAGTCGCGCGCCCCTCTCAATCCTACCGGTACACTCCCCCTTTCGTTTTCTTAAAAAAAATTGCTTTGTCCCTTGATAAATTTAAAAACAAACCGCCATTCATCAGTTCCTACATCCATTGTGTTCTTTTTTGCAACTCAAATTTGCATTAAATAATAAAATCAACAAAAACTAATAACTTTAGTTCAACCTTTCTTCTGATTGAAATTCACAATCATATATCGAAGTGAGTCTGTTTCAATTTAATCATAATAAGGATGATGCAGATCTACAATGAAAGGTAATGGATGAAAAAATCACAAGAAATTTTGTTACCCTTTTATATTTTAAATGAGATACCTAACTTTCCTAACAACCCCAATATTTTTTTATAAGAAATAAAAAATAATTCTATTTCTCGAAAACGTTCCCTAACTAAAGTGGATTTTATGATGATGATGATGATGATATAGTTGCATTTATTGTTGATTATATTGTTCAACTCAGGAATGCATGTTGTAAAGCAAATTTCATCTTCAAAACCCTTAAACAGAAATTTAACGAGAATTGAAAGTTAATTTATTTAAATTCTGAAAGCAAGTGAAAAATTATTTGTCTTACCTTAACCCAAACACGACATTCAAATGTGAACTTTATTTGTTGATCCATTTATTAATCTTGAATCAGTTCTTGTTTTTTATGTACATAACTAAATGTGGTGATAAAATAAATTAGTAAAGTTATTAAAATTTAAGTAAAAAAAGTTAAGTTACATATGACGATAAACACGCTTGATAAATTTTTAGAAATGACACTGAAGTGTTGCTGTCGGGATCTAGCAGCCAATTGAGATAGTTTCATTAGTGTGCGCATTTTTGTATCTTTTAGAATCGGCAATCGAATTGATAAGAGAAGTTTGTTTCAGCTAAAAAAAATTGAGAGAACTTTATAGCAACTCAATAATGCGTTCGTAATGTGTGAAGTAAATACCTAAATAAATTTCTAAGAACTTCCTTTAACCTTTATTCAACTGAAATAAATAGATATATTTAATATATTTTAATTAGGATTCTGATAAAAAACTAAGAGAAGAAAACCTTACATAAAAAGAAACCTACCTACCTATATGCTTTTTATACGAAGTTAGTTCATTGCTTATAAATTAT